TCTACAAATTACATGTTAACCAAATGGATTCAGTGGGCATAGTGGTGACAGAGTTAAATGATGTTGGGGTTTAAGTCTCTGCCTCCATCAGCTTGATCGCCCATCTAAGCACAACCGAGCGCCGCTGCCTCAGACAGCTGCCTTCACAGCCTGCTCCAAGCTCAGCCCACACATGCTTAATCCACTCGATGCCGTTAAGTTGACTTTGCTGTAAACCCACGACATCCAACTTCACACTCGAGCTTTTTCACGCAGCTGCTCTGCCTCTGCTGCCAAGTCTGTGTCGATCAGGGCATTTCCACCTGATTCAACGACTCCGTCAGATTTTTGAATCCTTGGGTTCTGATCAACCATAAACCCTGTTTTTTGTGTATTTATGAGATGTTTCATCAGAATTTATCTACATTTTCACCTACGTTCACATGTTCAGATGACTGTAGAGACTCATTCAGCTTTTTAGCAGTGATTAAAATGATTTTTATCATGCTAGAAAGAAAACGTCAAATGTTTAAGCTAATTTAAGATCAGAAATTGTTATTTTTTGTGTTGAACAAACATAAAGAACACAAATACAAAAAAAATGTGTATTTCAGGAGCACCAGTGCTAGGAAGCCCAACTGGATGGGAAAAATAGCTGGACCACACGTGTTTGAGAAGGCTGAGTTGATTTAGCGGCCAGGAGAGAGGCAAGTGCATTTTGGCTAGTAGAAGCTAACCGTTAGCATTAGCAACTCCACAACATGACAGAAGATGTTCGGGCTTCTTTTATTTATTATTATTGCATAGTGAAAGACAGTTATTTTATGTTTTGTACATTGTGTGTTAAAATTCATCTACACTTTTAGTTTTTTTGCTTCAGATTTTAACCACAAAAGGGACATTTCGGAACATGTAGATCTTTACCACTTCAGAAGGTTTGGTTTTCTCCCTGGCTCTCAAATGTGTTTTTCATCCAAATTCAGCAAGATAGAATTGAATTTCAAAACTAAAATTGCCCTCACTGATATGTATTTTTTTCTCTCTGCTGTTGAACTGTAATTCTGCACTGCATACCTGCTCTCTGTGTCTGCCACAGAAATCAATTTACTACTTTATATTCAGCCCCTGTTTTTAGCCTGAAAAGATGCAGCTGAACCTGAGGAATGGGCTGAGACGAGGACACAAACAGATTTTTTGCCTCCGTTTGAAAACCGACCACTTTTACCTGGTCTCGCCTTTCTGCTTCCAGTTCCACCTCCTCCCTGTTCCCTTGATCGAGTTGCCCCCTTCTAAAGGTCATTTCATGATCGAGCTGCAATTTCCAATCTTCACTTTTCTTTTGTCGACTTCAAGAGCTGAGCTGCTTTTGTTTGACACAATTTCTCCTTATTTGGCTGTACAAACATAAAATGCTCTCTTTCAGGTTCTAGCAAATTAAACACGAGCCTCCCACATGTCCCAACATTCTCAGCATTTTCATTTCCCTTTTATTAGGAGGAAAGTTGGGGTCTGTGTTGGGATTCTGTGACCACTCTAGAGCCTTTTTTAACGTGGGGAATGCACAAGAGAGAACACAAAGCGAAAATAAAAGCATCAGGCCCCTGATGCACAGATGTGTGGATGCCCCTCCCGCCCTAAAAACACCTGGATCACAAGAGACTAAAAGAACTTGACAGTTCTGTCTGACAGATGCATTTTGTTGTTAGCATATGTAAATATAGTCTGACTGCCACCCGTGGACAGAACTCAGTCGTAGGGGCAGAATCAACAGCTGTCTTTTAAAGGCATACTATGCAACTTTTTCATATTTTTAAATCATTTTCTTGAGCCAGTGTGTGCTAAAATAACCCTTTACAAGGTTAATGAAAAGTAATTCGGACACAACAACCCTCTGTAGCCAGAATACAGCACTTGCAACTTCAGAGTGTCGGGCCGGTTCCTGTTGGAGTTGACATGCCTGGCACTGCAGGCTGCTTCCAGCTTGTTTCCTGCATGTTTTAGATCGTTGACGCTACTGATTTGTCTGATTTAGCGATGAACCTCTCCTGTAAAAACTAATGAAGGCTGAGGAGTAGGGCTGCACAATATGTCAGTATCAGTATCAGTATCGGTATCGGTTGGTCATTTTTTAACACATCGGTATCGGTCCAATGAATAAAACTGGGTCGATATTAACAACCAATATTTTTTCCATTCATCTGTTTCAGAGGGTGAGGGTGGTGATGTGTATTTGTGTAGTCATGTGACAGTGATTGTAAATATCTCAGAAGCGTAAATGTGTCGGGTGTGTGTACGTAATAACGTAAATTCAGCTTTAAAAATTTTCATTCTATACAAAATCTACTGATTTTAGAAGCATTAATGTCAGTATATCGATATCGGCAAATATCGGTTATCGGCCATAACAGTGGTCTTAATATCGGATATCGGTATTGACCGAAAGATTTCATATCGGTGCATCACTACTGAGGAGACATTTCAGCAGTTAGATTAAGGTGTTAACAAGACAAACACACACCAAAGAGAAGAATTTCACGTCTGGTTTTACCACAGTGAATTAATAATGGACTCCAGGGGGTGCTAAAAGCTAGCTAAAACTACCAAGTGTGTCTGTAAAGGATCTCTGCATGCATTTGGACAGCGCTAGGGCCAATCGGAACGAACATTGTGATGTATTTATTGCTATGGAAATCAGTCAACAGGGCTGTCCACCACACACCGTCAAAGATGATGACATACATACTTTTCAACGGCTTAAGTACCTCTAATGTGTCAAAGAAAAGCCAAAGTCTAAATCGTTGATGCCAAAGCCGTTTCACAATGATCGCAAAAAAAAAAAACTACAATCATAGTTGTGTTTTTGTTTTTTTTTATTTTAGGTCAGTTTTAGTTTATTGTTCTTACTAATTTTCTGTGTTGCTTGATTTCATTTTAATGGCTGTTTTATTGTTCATGTTTTGTTGTATAGCTCTGTGATGTGCTATAGAAATAAACCTGACCTTGACCTAGAGCGCTGTGATTGCCTAAACTAAGGCCCTGTCCACACGTAGCCGGGGATCTGCCAAAACGTAGATATTTTTCTACGTTTTGGCCTGTCATCCACACGAAAACGGAGTTTTTTCACACGAAAAAGGATCTTTTTAAAAACTCCGGCCAAAGTGAAGATCTGCGTTTTCTCTGTTTTGGGTGTCTGCGTGTGGACGGACAAAACCGGAGTTTAAAGGTCCACAACGTCACTTTCCGCGACAAAAAAATGCTGACATCACGTGTGCGACCTGTGTTTACACTAGCCGACAGCATGGATGCCCTCAGAGCTGCGCTCGCTTAATCAAGTGTCCAAGCGCTTTTTGCTTGTTTGTTTTTGCAAGCGGAATTACTGCTCCTTGCAGAAGACCACAGACGAAGGACGAGGTTAAGAACGGGGGAAGTACTGCCGCCTACAGGTCTGGCATGTCCTTAACAACGTATTTATCCGGGTACGTGTGGACAGAGTTTTTTTTTCAAATGCGGTGGTGTGGATGCAAGTTTTTGGAGGGGCGGATATTCGTTTAAAAAAAAAAAACCCGGCTACGTGTGGACTAGGCCTCAGCTGAGCCAATGGTAGACCTGCTGAGGCTATAATGGAGCGTGACTAGACCAACCTGCAAAGCAAAATCTTTGCTACAGCTGCGGTTTGTCTAGGCTTTCTTGTTTTGGTATTTTAAACCACTATTCCATTGATTTTGGCTGACTTGGGGGTCTGCATGGTTTGTATTGCTGCCTCACAGTGAGATGGTTGCAGGTTTGAATCCCTGCTGGGACCTTTCTGCATAAAACAAGCATGTTCTCCAATGCATGCATGGGTTCTCCGGTTTTCTCCCACAGTCTAAAAACATGCATGTCAGGTTAACTGGTGACCCTAAACTGTCCACATGTGTGAGTGAGTGAGTGAGTGAGTGAGTGAGTGAGTGAGTGAGTGAGTGAGTGGTTGATTGTTCATGTGATGGACTATTTAGGGTGTTCCCCGCCTTTCCCCAGATGAATGCCGGAGTTTGGGAATTACTCACCACGACCCTAGTGAGCAATAGCAGTGTGAGTGAAGTGTGTGACTTGGATCCATTTTTTGGGTGAATTCAAAAATTGCCAAACAGCAGTAAAAAATAAATCTAGCAAATTCCCTGTTTGGAAGTGTAAACTTCCTGAATCACAGTAGTTAAATTGTTAGAATAATAATTTAGTTGCTAAAATAATCTGTTAGTCTAGGAATCATCCAAATTTGGAATTGTCATATCAGAGTTGTACAAAAATCTCAAATTGGAAAAAACTGAAAAAACGGTGCCCCTCTAACTCCTTTCTCCTCTTTTCTGTTTAGTTGAGGCGGCGTTGCCGTTATCCATGACTCTGGTTCTTACTCGTGTCTCTTGCTGATCATTTTCTCACAGATTTTGCCCCTTGCCACTCCATTCATTTGCACTTAAATTCCTCATTTTTGTCATTTTACACCTAATTATGGTCATTGTCATTTTGATCATTTTTACTGCTCTTCTGTTTGCTTTTTCTTTGTGGTCATTTTCCATCTTTTCATAAAGATCCCTTCAGTTTAAGCATTTTAGCAGCTTTTCGCTTCATTTTGGAAGAAAGCCCAGTAAAACTGTCCAGTAATCCATCCACGAAGGCTGCTGCTACCAGGAATTCTTGTTGCCATGGAAAGGTCACTCGGTCTAAAACAATATTTAGGTGGGAGGTGGTGGGCGTCGAACGAACGTCCACAGCGTTTCCGCAACGTTTCATTGTAACCGTTCTAATTATTACCGCTAAAGCTAGTGGTCTTTACATATGTTGTGGCTGATTAATCTACACCCCGAAGCCACATGAGCTGCCCGACTAAAACTTGCAAACAAAAGAACAACAAAAAAATAGATTTTCTATTTTAAAAAAGGGATTTACATGTTGAAAACATGGTGGCGCACAAGGATTTTGAGCTGCGGTGACTCACGTTGTGAATATGGGTTCGACCTGTATATATCTTCCTCTCTCACCAGAACACGCTTGATGCAAAGCTTCAAAGAATCCCACTCCCACGAGTCCCTTCTCTCCCCCAGCAGCGCTGCTGAGGCTCTAGACCTAGTTTTGGATGAAGATGCCATTATCAAGCCTGTCCACTCCAGCATTTTAGGACAAGAGTACTGCTTTGAGGTGCGTTCTTTTTTTTTTTGACGTCTGTGTGTTGTGTTATTTTTAATGATTTTATATGTAATTATTGATTTGGACTCCACTACAAACCCACTTCATTCCTCTTTAGGATCTTTAATAAACGAGGTGGCCTATCAGATAATTAAAGCTGAACCAATGAAGCTAATTATCACATTTTTTTGCACAAAAAGGCAAAACTATTCATGGGTTCTGATTATTAGAGAAACACAAGATTGCCAGTGCATCTTCAGATTTCACAAAGACTATATTGGCTGCGACGGACCCACATTTTCCTCACTTTTCATGGTGTTTTATCATCACAACCCCCACAACACTTTAGAAGTGTTTTCAGGCACTTTTGCCCAACCAGCAATTCTTTGGAACGCTGCGATTACGCACATCAATAACATGATGACGAGAGGTTTACGACATTTTTTGCAGCTCTTCTGGTCATTTAATCTTTGGAGATTATTTCTTCTAAAGAAGACAAACATGCAGTTAATCGATGAGATTGTTGGTAATGGGAATGAATGTGTGGACAATTCTATATTTTAACTTGTAACATTGTTGAGGTTAAATAGCTTTAATCTGTACGTATACCTCCATGCAACATAGAGTTTGTAGGGGACATGATTAAAAGTCAGCTAAAAAGAATAAAAGTAAAGAGTAATGACAAACATAAAGGGTTCAAATTCAGTAAAATCTCAGTTCAATTACAATCTCCCAAATGTCACGGTAGCAGGAAGCTTCCTGACCCACATGAAAGAATCACAACAGGCAGGAGGTCAGAAATAAGAATGATGTTTTATGAAATGGAAAAAGGTAATAAACTGAGGACGCAGCTCCAAACGGGTGCTGGAAAAACAAACGGGAACTAAGAGCGCAACTTCAACGAAGCGGGAACCGGGCCGGGGTCTAAAAATGGAAAACACACGGAGGTCAAAACCAGGAACGAGAGAACCAGATGATAACAGAGGGAAGGGGAATCTTACTCAGCCAAAACTGAGGATGGATGTGAAGAGAGGGAAGGTCAGGTCTGGTCAATGGACGAGTGGGATGAGGCAGGAGGGATGTGGCTGACGGGTATCCAGGGCAGGTGGACGGCGGAGAGCAGGTGGCATGGGGAGATGAGTGACGATGTAGATATACACGCTCCAGGGAAGCAGAAAACTCAGGCAGAGATCCGGTGGTTGATCTGGAGGCGGGACAGGCAGTTTAAAACAGGACAATCAGGACAAGAATGCAGAATTTTATGAGAGTTCGGGACGAGGCTGGAAGCTACCCAGGTGAGAGTATGAACCGGCGCTGGAGTGTGGACACGCCACTCCTTAAATCCCCTGGCCTTGCTGATGGGAAATCAGCTGCAGCTAAGGCTCTCCGACATGCCCACCTGCAAAGAGACTCAGAGGGAAAAAACAGCAGAATCATGACACCTAATGTATGGATCAAGGACCAATCCCCAGCTCCTTCAGCCTGCCGAAGTGTCCTTTGGCAAGACATGGTTCTGTCTAATTTAGTCATATGGCTAAGAATATTGAAGGGCCCCAATAAACCCGTGCTCAATGTACAGAAATTTCAAAAATGTATAGCAAATAAAACCTATATGTGCTCTAGTTAATGGTCAACAAAGCAGTCAAAGGGTTAATATTTTTTATATTTCATGTTCTATTTATTTTTATTTTGTTTTCTTGGCTGCTTAGAAAGAAGTAATGGAAGGAGATTTAATGTAGTAGCAATCTACAAATTTGCCACTAGATGGCACTAACATTGGCATTATGCAAATTAGTGTGGTGAAAATTTGAAAATGTAAAGTTTAAACTTTAGAATTTTATTGAGGGCTCTTTATAACTTTTTAAGAAATTAGTATTTTTTACGTTTTTTCTTCCATTTTTAAAGATTTTTGTACTTTGTTTTGGATTTATTAAACATTTTTGTGTTTTTTTAAAGCAACATTTCTGCATTAGGCTGCAAATTAAAATAAAAAACATGCAGAAATGACCAAATATGCTCATTTATCTCCATGAAAGGGACAAAAGTTGGTTGTCTTACATGAACCATTTCATGATCATTAGCTAAATCTTATCTGCAGGTAACCACAAATTCAGGGACCAAATGTTTCGCCTGCCGTTCTGCTTCAGAACGAGACAAGTGGATCGAAAATCTGCAACGGGCTGTCAAACCGAACAAGGTAGATTTTAATGTTGTTTTGTCTTAAGCCACTGAAGTGGATCACAGACTGGCGTTAAATCCATTGACCCGAAACAAATGTGTTTAAGGACTGTTATAATGCAGTAACAGAACTCCTCGTTCTGTTTCCAGGATAACAGCAGACGGGTGGAGAACGTGCTCAAGTTGTGGATCATCGAGGCTCGAGATCTTCCGGCTAAGAAACGCTACTATTGTGAGCTGTGCCTGGATGACATGCTTTACGCTCGCACCACCAGCAAACCCCGCACCGACACAGTCTTCTGGGGGGAGCATTTTGAGTTCAACAATTTGCCAACCATTCGTGGCCTTCGTTTGCACCTCTACAAGGAAACTGACAAGAAGAGACGCAAGGTGATGAAAAGATTTGAATAAAACATTGTTTATCTTAGGTGTGTTCTTGCTGTGTATTATTACAAATTCCACGCTGTCGTTCTTTTTAAAACACAGAAACGGTTTCGTTACCTGTTTTGTCGCTACGTTTCGCCGGCGGCTATAGGCTTCCTCAGGCTGACGCTGATAAACGGAGAAGGAAGTGACGCGCCACCATCAGCGTCAGCCTGAGGAAGCCTGCAGCCGCCGACGAAACGTAGCGACAAAACAGGTAACGAAACCGTTTCTGTGTTTTAAAAAGAACGACAGCATGGAAAACATTGTTTGGTTTTAAAATGTGCTAACTATGATGTTGTCTAAATTAGGAGAAAAGCACATACATCGGGCTTGTCAGCATCCCCATCTCAAGCATTACGGGCCGGCAGTTTGTCGAGCAGTGGTACCCGGTTATCCAGTCCAGTGTTTTAGCCAAAAGCGGCGGCGTTGGAAGTACCAAAGTGCTCAACGCTTCACTGCGGATCAAATCTCGCTATCAGACGATGAATATTCTCCCAATGGAGCTGTACAAGGAGTTTGCTGAGTACATCACCAACAACTACCGAACACTGTGCGCAGTCCTGGAGCCGCTGCTCAGCGTGAAAAGTAAAGAGGAGGTGGCGTTTGCTCTGGTGCACATCCTTCAAAGCACAGGGAAGACAAAGGTAGGTAAAGTTTAAAAGGTCATTTGCTAGTTTTCGTGTCTCTTTTTTTAGTTCTAGAAAGAAAAAATGTCTGCTCATTCATTTTGGCTTTTATTCCAAGGAGTTCTTGTCTGACATGGCGATGTGTGAGGTGGATCGGTTCATGGACCGCGAGCACCTGATCTTTCGGGAGAACACACTCGCTACCAAGGCTGTGGAAGAGTACCTCAAACTAATAGGTCACAGATACCTCAAAGAAGCTATAGGTGAGGAGGATGAGCGTCAGTGGGTACAAATTCCTGCACACATTTAACCGTTTTACCTCAATATCTGTTAAACTGATCTGATTATAGCCATTAATTAAACATGTGACCGTTATACTGAAATATGTGAATGAAACATGAAGCTAAGTTAAAGCAAAGCAAGTTCTACCTTTGCAGATTTCTTTGTAATTCCAATAAATTCCCTTTTGTTTTATGTTTATCTTCTCTTCTCCAACCAATCATAAGGTGATTTTATTCGAGCCTTATACGAGTCAGAGGAGAACTGTGAGGTGGACCCCATGCGTGTCCCGCCGTCAGTCCTCGCCGACCATCAAGCCAACCTTCGTATGTGCTGTGAGCTCCTACTGTGCAAGATTATCAACTCCCTCTGGTCAGTTCTTACTCCTCCCTGAAACCCAGACACTTCTTCATCAGGCTGCTTTGCATGTTTTTTTTTGTTTAATTTAACCCTCCCACTGTCTTTATGGGTGACCCCGCGAGGAAAGTTGACCATTGAGCAGGATTGATAGTTTATCCTTGAGGTCCACGTGGCAGGGGTGAGGTGGTGCTCACTCCTCACCCCTGCCACATGGACCCAAGGGATAAACCATCAACCCTGCTCAATGGTCAACTTTCTTCGCGAGGTCATACCCATTAGGACAGTGGGAGGGTTAAAGCCCTCTTTTTTTGGCCCCGCCCCTACGCCACGGCTCCACACAGAAAAATGCTGAAAGCAATGGATACTATCAAACAACCATAAAAGCGTAACAAAATCTTTCCTTTTCGACCTGCTTATGGCAAATTTTCTGCCATAATTCCTAATGTAACGCGAGTACTTAACAGCCGTGGAGCCTCCAGGTTTCTGACGGACTCCTCTTACTCTGGAGTTCCCTAGACTGTGTCACCACTGAAGGTTTATGAAAGAAGCCACTGGGACCCAGATCTGAGATCCAGCGGGGAGGACTGGGTTTATGTCTGCCTCTATTTCCACTCAGGCTAGATATCCAATCCTTGGTAACAATTTCGTATAGCTAATACAGTGTACTGCGCTAGCTAGTAGCGGGATGATCACAATGATTGGATAAGGTTTTCTCAGGATTGTACATTTCAAAGGGATTGACTAATACATTTTTTTGGTTGCCACCAAGTGTGTGAAAAGCATTTCCATGGGTGTCTCTCAATGTCAAGGCGTCTGGCCTTGAGAGGCGATGTTCTGCGAGGCCAGGCTCCTTGCTTACGAGGACACTGTCCTTCCTTGGTTAAAGAAAACGGTTAAATGAAACAGACCTACATCACGTGACTGTGGCTTCCACGGCGGTCACGTATCGTCACGTGACACAGGAGATAACGTTATATTTTATACGTATTAGTTTCAATATAAATACATAACGAGCCTTTTACTTTTTAAATTGTGTATATGTTTATTAAATTAAATATATAAGTGAGTTACTACCCTTTAGCCATCGAAGCTACAACTACCAAGCAACTCACCAACAACAGATAACTTCTTTGGCTCTAAAAAAAATTTTAAATTAGTTGACTTACTTTTAAACTTGAAATTTTTCCCAGAAGTAGCTGCCGGCTTCTGATCCGCCGTGTATTCTGGGTAATTTTTGACCAAGGCTAGGCTACAAGACACCTCCCGTGTATCCTTGCTCAGCTAGCTAAACGGCTAACAAACAGAGAACACACGCCTCGGTGGAACACGAACATTGGAACACGTCTTGGCGGCTCCCGATGACGTATCTCCTAGGCAACCGGGGCGGGGCCAAGACATCAAGGCAAAGTTCCTTGGCATTGAGAAACACCCCCTGTCTCAACCCCACCTTTAGCAGAGTGAAATGTTTGGATGAATTTTGAGTTTCCTGTAGATTTCATGTCGCTACGTTCCCTGACAGTTGACAATAAAATCCCCCTTTCAGCATATTTCCCCGGGAGCTAAAGGAGGTTTTCGCCTCGTGGAGAGCCAGGTGCGCCGAGCGCGGACGAGAGGACCTCGCCGACAGCCTCATCAGCTCCTCCTTGTTCCTGCGCTTTATGTGCCCCGCCATCATGTCCCCGTCCCTGTTCAACCTAATGCAGGAGTACCCCGTCGAGCGCACGTCACGCACGCTCACGCTCATTGCCAAGGTGATGCAGAACCTGGCCAGTTTCAGCAAGTGAGTGTCTCCTCACGACCCGTCCTCTGCTGGTTATTTGGCGCGGTTTGAGGTTTGCGGACACTGGTGTTGGGCACATTTGAGGGTGCCATCTCGGAAATCGAGGCTTGCAGTTTGGAGTGTGAGGGTATAAGTTGTTAATCACACACACTGAGCTCAGATCCTTGATCCTGAGACACATTTTGTGTTTCCCCTCTCCACTGACATATTTGTTATTACACCGACAAATTCCCCTGACTTTCTATTCACCTCTGATTAAGCCTCTGAAGCTGGGTTATAGGAAACTGGTGTAAAACTCATCTGAAGACTTCACAATGTTTGGTTTGCTTTGTAGCACATACTTTAAAATAAACCCACATGACTTTTTATGGTGGAGCTGATTGTGGATTTTTTTCTTGACTTTACAAAGCTTAAAATAATATATTTTAGATTTATTTAGATTTAAAACTTAAAATTTAATTTATGTTTATGTCTTTATCAGACACTTTTGTCCAAAGCGACTTACAAGTGATAATCGCCACGTTGCCCTTGAGGCTAACAACAACAACTTGACAATCATGGAGAGGAGGGAACAAAGGAGTGGATGGTAGAGAGGGGGAACGGGTGCAGGGAAGGGGCTGGTTAAGAAGATAATTTAAATACATTTCTAGCCCACTGTTCCCAAAGTTAGGAGCGAAACATAAAATGGCTTAAAAAGAAACTAAATACACAAGATTGATTTTTATCAACTACAACAAAAATGTGCCCGACAAATCTGCAGAGAGCTTCAGTTATGTTGCTGCATTTGGGTGCACATTTATTAAAAGTACTATTAAAGTTGTGTATTTCAATCAAAGGAGAAAAGATGAAAGAGGATAACAGGGAAATTTTAAGATATCACCCATAAATATTGGAGGAAACTATTAGCCCTTTTAAGCCAGATACAATCATTAATTGTGAAAAACTTTTTCCGTTTTCAAACTTAAACGGATTACTTGTTATTTTAATTAAAGAGAAGTTTAGTTTGTTGCCATATTTCCCAGGGTTATCCTCTTAATAAAAATACAGTATTCTGTTAGCTTTAGCTTAGCATAAACAATGTAAGTCAATGGTAACAGCTAGCATTTTGTGTGAAAGTCATGAAAATACTCAATGATCCCATTTTTTTCATTCCAGTCGTCTGGTGGGACATGCTCCTGCTAAACCAGATATTAAATTATTTTCTCCAAGGGTGCTGGAGGAATTCCCAGGGCAGCAAACCGTTGTCTTCGTTCTACATTGGACGGAATTCTGTGAAAAAACATTGTGTTGCCACTGTGTGTGTGTTTATAATGTCTCCCTTTTCTACACAGGCAAGAATACATTTCTTGCATTAGAAATACAAAATATCCAAATGATAGAGGTAAAACTGTAGTACAGTTCACACATTTGTGTCTACAGAAGTAGATGTCTTTCATGTCCTTGAGCAGTGCTTTGTAATAATGTAGTCTCAAGTCTAAAGTGGCTCCTGTACTTCCTGCATGTGACTTATTATTTTTATTTGCAGTCGATGTGATTATTGAGATCACCAAGAAAAATTGGGCTCATAATAATGATTAATTTTCATGACTTTTACACAGGACATGCTAGCTGTTACCATTCACTTACATTGTTTATGCTAAGCTAAAGCTAACGGAATATTGCCAGATCAGGAGAACGACTGAGGTGGTTATAACATTCTTTAGGGGTGCAATATCTCCTGATTCATTAAAATAATAATACTAGTTCTATGAAAAATTTATTACATTTTGATAAGAAATAAAAATTAAAAAGCATTTCTCTGCTTGTAAAAATTATCTTCTCCATTAGAGGATAAAAGGTTTTTAATGAAAGAACCATTTTATAGAGGCAGAGCTCTTGGAAAAAAAAAAAGAAATACAAATTTTAACATGCAGGTCACAAAAATCAAACGTCTCAAAACATAAATAAATCAGGTGTAAACCTATGATACGTGTGGTTTTGTAGGGTTATATGGGTCCTACTTTGTTTTCACATTCCTAAAAAATGTATATCTGAACTTCCACAGATTTGGACCTAAAGAAGAATTCATGTATTTCATGAACGAGTTCCTGGAGATGGAGTGGGGCTCAATGCAGCAGTTCCTTTATGAGATCTCCAACATGGACACAGGAGGAAACGCCGGAGGCTTCGAAGGTTACATCGACCTGGGCAGAGAGTTGTCTATGCTCCACAGTTTACTGTGGGAGGTCATGGGCCAGCTTAGCAAGGTGGGAGAAAAAATAATACACAGATATCACATATGCTCTGACCACGGATTTCTTCAAATGTTGGAAGATCCATAATTTAAATGCCATAAAATAGTTGTATTCCACAGTTTACAGTAGCGATTGTAAAATCTGGGAGGAATAAAAATGTAAATGTCACAAGTTGGTATAGGAGGATTTTTAGGACCCAAGATGCAGATAACCAGATGAACGAGGCAGGAGGTGGATGATGAAAATAAAATCCTTTAATAACATCCTGCCAAGAGGCAGGGAGCCAATACCAAAAATCCAAAAATTCAAATATCTAAACACTAGAGAACTAGAAGCACTGGAAACACTAGAGGCTAGGAACAGGAATGAGACCAGACTGACAAGAACAATGAGCCGAAAAAACACTGAGACACAGACAGGGTTTTATACACTGGGGAGGATGAGAGGGAGATGAACTACAGGTGTGTGGGGAGAGAGAGATCAGGTGAACTCAATTACTAATCAGGGAGGAAACTAACATGATCTAAGAATAAAACCTAAAGACAAGAAGAGCTGGAATCATAATTAATAATCTAAGGGGGGAGAAAAACCACAAACACCGGTGGGAAAAACACACTAAAGAGACTAACAACATGAACAGCTGTAACTAAAGGAAAATGACCAAAGAGAAATACCTAAAGACCAGAAGGGCAGCAAACATAACTAATATTCTAAGGGGGAAGCTGAAACTAAAGTAAAACACAACAGAAAGAAAAACTACAGGGGCGTGACTAAAGGGGGCCAAGGGAGCACAGGACCTGGGAGGGGGATGCCTGAGGAGGTAAACCTAGAGGGCTGAAGATCTGGGGGCAAATGGGGAACACCAGGAGACACAAGAGGAAGACGCAGGCAAGGACACATGAGGGCGCTAGGAGACACAAAAGGAGAACCTAGAGAGGGATGGAGAACACAAGGAGACACAAGAGGGGAGACGCAGATGCAGACCATGACAGTAAAGTTTTCCAGTTTATTGTTGGAGGTTTTTAGACAAATGTGAGAACCACTTAAATAATTTGTTTCTTTTCTGTCTCCATGATTTATTTATGTTAGAACGTTGTTAAGAGGCATGACAAAAATGTTCAAGCTAGCTTGTTTAGCAGATAGTAGCACTTTTTGGTGCCCTGCGATGGACTGGCACTCTGTCCAGGGTGTATCCCGCCTGATAGCCCATTGACCGCTGGAGATAAGCACCAGCCCCTCATTCACGCATCCAAAACCTTCGTCTTCGTCTTCGTCTTCCTCCGCTTATCCGGGTCCGGGTAGCGGGGGCAGCATCCCAATTAGGGAGCTCCAGGCCGTCCTCTCCCCGGCCTTGTCCACCAGCTCCTCCGGCAGGACCCCAAGGCGTTCCCGGACCAGATTGGAGATGTAACCTCTCCAATCTGTCCTGGGTCGACCCGGGGGCCTTCTGCCGGCAGGACATGCCCGAAACACCTCCCCGGGGAGGCGTCCAGGAGGCATCCTGACCAGATGCCCAAACCACCTCAACTGGCTCCTTTCGATCCGGAGGAGCAGCGGTTCTACTCCGAGTCCCTCCCGAATGTCCGAGCTCCTCACCCTATCTCTAAGGCTGAGCCCGGCCACCCTACGGAGGAAACTCATTTCGGCCGCTTGTATCCGCGATCTCGTTCTTTCGGTCATTACCCAAAGCTCATGACCATAGGTGAGGATTGGGACGTAGATCGACCGGTAAATTGAGAGCCTGGCTTTCTGGCTCAGCTCCCTCTTCCCCGCGACAGATCGGCTCAGCGTCCGCATCACTGCAGACGCCGAACCAATTCGCCTGTCGATCTCCCGATCCCTCCTACCCTCACTCGTGAACAAGACCCCGAGATACTTAAACTCCTCCACTTGAGGTAGGACCTCTCCCCCGACCCGGAGGTGGCAAGCCACCCTTTTCCGGTCGAGAACCATGGTCTCAGATTTGGAGGTGCTGATCCTCATCCCAGCCGCTTCACATTCGGCCGCGAACCTACCCGGCAAGAGCTGAAGGTCAGAGCTGGATGAAGCTAGGAGGACCACATCATCCGCAAAAAGCAGAGACGAGATTCTCCTGCCACCAAACTCGACACACTCCACACCACGGCTGCGTCTAGAAATTCTGTCCATAAAAGTGATGAACAGAACCGGTGACAAAGGGCAGCCCTGGCGGAGTCCAACCCTCACTGGGAACAGGTCCGACTTACTACCGGCTATGCGGACCAAACTCACGCTCCTCTGGTAAAGGGACTGAATGGCCCTTAACAGAAAGCCACCCACCCCATACTCCTGGAGCGTCCCCCACAGGGTGCCCCTGGGGACACGGTCATAAGCCTTCTCCAAATCCACAAAGCACATGTGGATTGGTTGGGCAAACTCCCATGCCCCCTCCATCACCCTTGCAAGGGTATAGAGCTGGTCCACAGTTCCACGGCCAGGACGAAAACCACATTGCTCCTCCTCTATCTGAGATTCAACTATCGATCGGACCCTCCTCTCCAGTACCTTGGCGTAGACCTTTCCAGGGAGGCTGAGGAGTGTGATCCCCCTATAGTTGGAACACACCTTCAGGTCACCCTTCTTAAAGATGGGGACCACCACCCCGGTCTGCCACTCCCTAGGAACTGCCCCCGATGACCACGCAATGTTGTAGAGACGTGTCAACCATGACAGCCCTACAACATCCATAGCCTTGAGATACCCAGGACGAACCTCATCCGCCCCCGGGGCTCCGCCGCTGTGTAGTTGTTTGACTACCTCAGCAACTTCTGCCCCCGAGATCGGACAGTCCATCCCCAGGCCTCCCAGCTCTGGTTCCTCCTCGGAATGCGCATTGGTGGGATTGAGGAGCTCCTCAAAGTATTCCTTCCACCGTCCGACTATAGCCTCAGTTGACGTCAGCAGCTCCCCATCCCCACTGTAAACAGTGTGAGCGAGTTGCTGCCTTCCTCTCCTGAGGCGCCGGACAGTTTGCCAGAACCTCTTTGGAGCCGATCGATAGTCTTTCTCCATGGCCTCACCAAACTCCTCCCACGCCCGAGATTTTGCCTCGGCAACTGCCACTGCTGCACCCCGCTTGGCTATCCGGTACCTGTCTGCTGCCTCCGGAGACCCACAGACCAGCCACGCCCTGTAGGCCTCCTTCTTCAGCCTGACGGCTCCCCGAACCTCTGGTGTCCACCAGCGGGTACGGGGGTTGCCACCACGACTGGCACCGGCCACCTTACGACCACAGCTAGCAACAGCCGCCTCGACAATCGCAGAGTGGAACAAGGCCCACTCGGACTCAATGTCCCCCACTGCTCTCGGGACGTGGTCAAAGCTCTGCCGGAGGTGGGAGTTGAAGACCGTCTTGACAGGTTCTTCTGCCAGGCGTTCCCAGCAGACCCTCACTATGCGTTTGGGTCTGCCAGGTCTACGCGGCATGTTCCCTTGCCATCTGATCCAACTCACCACCAGGTGGTGATCAGTTGACAGCTCCGCCCCTCTCTTCACTCGGGTGTCCAAAACATACGGCCGCAGGTCAGATGATACGACTACAAAATCTATCATCGACCTGTGACCTAGGCTGCCCTGGTACCAAGTGTACCAGTGGGCATCCTTATGTTCGAACATGGTGTTCGTTATGGCCAAACTGCGGCTTGCACAGAAGTCCAAAAACAAAACACCGCTCGAGTTCTGATTAGGTGGGCCGTTCCTCCCAATCACACCCCTCCAGGTCAAGCTGTCATTGCCCACGTGAGCATTGAAGTCCCCCAGCAGGACAATGGAGTCCCCTGATGGTGCACTATCTAGCACTCGTCCCAGGGACTCCAAAAAGGGTGGGTACTCTGAACTGATATTTGGCCCATAAGCACAAACAACAGTCAGGACCCGTTCCCTGACCCGAAGGCGCAAGGAAGCTACCCTCTTGTCCCCCGGGGTAAACCCCAACACACAGGCAGAGAGTCTCGGGGCTAACAAAAAGCCAACCCCAGCCCTCCGCCTCTCACCCGGAGCAACTCCAGCAAAGTAGAGTGTCCAACCCCTCCCCAGGTCTCGGGTTCCAGAGCCAATGCAATGTGTCGAGGTGAGTCCGACTATATCTAGCCGGTACCGCTCAACCTCTGCCACAAGCTCCGGCTCCTTCCCCGCCAGCGAGGTGACGTTCCAGCATCCAAAACCTCGCATTTCATTTTAGTTTCCATTCAGTCACAGGTTTGCATTTAAAAACAAGTTTTAATATCAAAGCTGTTAAAAATTGTCATTTCTAAATTGTCATTTTTAAAAGTGTTAGTAATAAATTCAAAACTTTTTAAAACACTCTGACTCTTCTTTGAAATGAAACGCAGAAATTGTGTATATTTTTGGTTATTGAATCAGCAAAGATTCCTTTAAACTTCTGATTCAATAAATAAACTTTTGCTATTAAATTTAATTATCTTAAATTAAAAATTAATCTTTGGATTAAAAATAGACCAAGCTCGTAGGCATATGAACTTCTATCGAATATATAATATCCTAGATATTTATATATGATAGAAGCTTTATTTGTCAGCTTGTTTGATCTTTTCTCAGGATCTAACCAAACTGATAGCAAACAGTGTTAAATCCTAGTATGTAGTTAAATACGCTACAGTTATGTTCCTGCAGGACGCCATACTCAAACTCGGACCCCTGCCTCGGCTGCTGAATGACATCAGCGTCGCCTTGAGGAACCCACAGCTCCACATGCCTACGAACCACCAGTCGGACAGGCCGAAGGACAGACTCTTCTCTCGGCCTTCTTTCAACCGTCTCACGTCCTCCGACTTCCAAAGCTTCATGATGCGTGATCTAAACAGGTATTCTGCCGTCTTTTTATGTGCATTTTTGTGCCAAAGCAGGACTGGTTCCTGCTCTATAAAGACGCACAGCCATTACTGCAAATATGCACCGATGTTGTATACAAATACAGAATTTGCAGCTCTACCAGGGTGCTATTAAGAGGCTGAGGATACAGAATACTTGAGCGTTCACCTGCTTATAACAACGCCGGCGTATTTCTAAAACCTCTTAATGCTAACGCACCTCGTTGGGCTTTCAAAGCAGTTTATCAATCGCTAATTGCCAGCGCCATCTGTTCACCCAAACACTCTTACCCGAACCTTTTCTCGCTCTGTTTTAATCCACTTCAGCGCTCTGTGATTATCCGGAGACAGCTCCTACATTAAACAGGAACTCTTTAAGGAAGGTGAATAGAGTTGAATGACCACACGGAGCTCTGAGAGTGACACAAATCTGCTTCAGGAGGGTTTGAGAGGGCAGAGATCAAACGCTCAGGGAAACAAGAGCGACACACCTGCCGTCGCCAGCCTCAAAGGTGTCACTCCATCTCCTCACCCGGGTGTTATTACGCAACGGTTGCATAATTAGACTTGTAATTCATGCCTGCTGTGAAATCTTATATATGGCTGCGTGGGATTCAAACCCTTCACTTACATCAAGGAATAGAACCAAAAGCCTGCACTGAAGCGACCGAGTTTGATGATAAATGACGGGATCGACCGTGCAAATTTGTTGTAATAACTCTCTGTCTGCAGCTCCATAGACATCTCCCGCCTTCCGTCCCCCACCACCGGAGTCTCAGCCGTAGAATCTCTGTCGTCCAATTTGAGACGCCACGCCGAACGGGACCTCCGCTCCTCGAGGGAAGTGTTCTACGTCACTCGCCCGCCTCTGGCCCGATCCAGCCCCGCATACTGCACGAGCAGCTCTGACATCACGGAGCCCGATCCAAAGGTAGACGTGGTTTTGATCCCACTTTAGTTGGCTTTTGCAGGTACAAAACGAAGGTGAAAAACTGAGGATGTGCTAAAAGTTTTATTCTAAAACGTCTTCTGTCTTTTCTAGAGTATAAAAATATCACTCGATTCCAGCAACATGTTTTAAAGTTGCCAAAAGTGATTTTGTGTGATATGATCTTGTTATATTAACTTTCAGCTTATTAGGTTAATTGGCAAGAGGTCAGATGTTCACAGCTCTGGTGTGAGTTTTTTCTCATCGTAAAATCTGGACAAGACGGAGCACCAGCACTGAATAATCATGATCATGAACATTTTCTGCTGTGATAATCACCATATTTCCACAAAACCATCAACAGCAAGCACGCAAAGAAAGAATTAAGATATAAATAATAGCTTAAATACTTTTGTTTTGAGCTCAGCTGGCAAATCTCGAAACTGAGTTTGTTCAAAAAGTATTTTTTCACAAGATTTTGTTCACTGAGAAACCGTGATACTCCTTTTGAAATGTGTTCGGTCGCTCTTAAGTTGCACACACATGCCGAATGTGAACATTTTTTAAAAACCCCATCAGCCGCATAAAAGAAAAAGACTGGAAAACGATCAGGTCACAGGAATATTAGTATTCATGGCCCCGCCCACTTTTGGGGCCAGGAGAGAGCAGAGCGTTTCTCAGCTAGTAGAAGCTAACTGTTAGCATTAGTTACTCCACAACATGTTTTATCCTCGGAGATAAAACATCAGCGTTGCAAAGGCAGTGGAAGAGTCACGTTGTTGTTAGCCAGTCAGAAGAGAGACATTTGCATATCATGAATATTAATGAGTAGAACTTGTTAACCTGCCGTTTCCCACCCTTCATTCTTCTGACCTACTTCTACCTCTTAAAACAGGAACACATGACCGTTTTTCCATAGAAAATGACTCACAAGGCAATCATTTATACACTATATCCATTGCTTTTAAACCTCTACGGACTACCGTCTTTGTTTTAACTAACCGCGTGTATGCAAGCTGATGCTGCTGTTGTATTTCTCCATCTGATACACCTTCTTTCTTGTTAGTGATCCTGTATTTGTGTGTTCCAGGTCCACAGTGTGAACAAAAGTGTTTCCATGATGGACCTTCAGGACTCTCGCATGAACAGCATTTCCAACTTGAACTCAGTGGGAGACATGCTCGCCTCCTCTCAAGCTTCCATCGCCGGCCTCGGCCACAGTTTTGGGAACTTGGGCGGTCCTCTGCGAATGGGAGGCCACTTGCCGCCGAGCTCGTCCGGCTCTGGTTTGAGACTAAGTCAGATGGGCCACGTAGGGGGGCCCACAGAATCCCTCTCCCAGCAGCAACAGCAGGCGGCGGCAGCCATGCACTTCCCCTTGTCTTTCCAGAACCCGCTATTCCATCTGGCTGCTCAGAACTCCCCAGCTCAGTCCCAGGCTCCTCCCCCTCTCCTCTTCACCCCTGAGCACGAGAATGGCCACCCCGACTACCCGCCAGCCTTTGGCAACAGCGCTTTCTCCCGCAGCGAGGACTTGTCCGCCCTGCAGTCACAGAGCAGCCTGGTGCAGCCCAGCATCGTCCACTCACACAGCTACAGCGATGATTTCACCCGGCAGAATCAGAACAACGACTTCGCCTGGCACCAGCTGTCGCTGCAGGTGCAGGTAGGAGCCTCGCACCTGTTCACACACACACACACACACACACACACACACACACACACACACACACACACACACACACACACACACACACACACACACACACACACACACACACACACACACACACACACACGCACACACACACACACACAGGAAGACACTTCAATGCCAATGACATGCCACACTTTACGTTGCAAATTCTTTCAAAATAAAAGTGAAATAATCTGAACTAAATCATAATACTGTTTCACTTGTGCAGATATTTTAGGACAGTAAAAGATCTATTTGTGTTAAAACGCATTAATATCTTTGTAGCTCAAAAATTTGAATGTTAATACAGTTTTTGATGAGGGAGTGTTTTCACATGCAAAATGGGAGTTTAAAAAAATTCACACTGAAAAAACTGATTTCCGAGATAATTAAAAAAACTTACTTTCAGGCATTTAATCTTATTTTTAGTCTAAAAAGAAAAACAAATCTGTAGAAAAAGTTGTATTTTATAAAGTAAGATGAATCTTCTTCATTATGAATGTTCTTGCTTTGAGTAAAAACATCTGCCAGTTAGTTCAAGTAAATGTTGCTTGGCTAAAATTCTTGAAACTCGTAAAATAATCCAATTTTTTATTTATTTGCTAGTTTTAAGAAGTTAAGATTTACATATTTTTAAGTAATGCTGTTTTTCTAGAGAAGATTTTTTTCTTTTTTGACCAAATTAAGATAAACTGTGTTAGAAATCAGTTTTTGCAGTGTATTTCTGAATTAATTTTGATTTAATTTTAACTACTTCTCCTCAACATCATGCAAATTATATGTCTAAACATTTTTGGCTTCCTCCAGCCACTGTATCACTCGTTGCTGTGGTTTTTTATCAGAACCTCTCAGAGGGCACACTGGGGCTTCCATAGTTCGGGTATATTTTACCTCATTGTCTTCAAAGGTGGAAATGGTTTTTTAACTTGTCATAAATCCAACATAAAAGAAAGATGAAATAAAAAGAAAGGGTTTTTTATACGTCACATCTCTAAATGCAAATCACAAGGCGTTTCACAAACACATTTTTCAATTACTAAACAAGATAATAAAAACGGGGGAATTGTTAGGATGACATGCAAAACACTGTAGAGACATAAAACTTGTTTGCTCGTATTGGCTTTTGCTGTGAGGAAGTGAGAGCCAAGTGTGTGGTTATAATTGCAACCTTACGAGCTACCGGGAGTAACTATAGAGACCCAAATGAGCCACTGGTTGTAGCTTTAACATTTCTGTTGGGTTTCTTTACATTTCTTATACAGCTTAAACTAGGGATGTCCGATTTTATCGGTTGATATTGGCAGTAAAATGTAATATTGGACATTATCGGTGGCGGTTTTTATTCAGTGACACAACCTTTACATACCTTGCACATTTTAGACATCAAACCCTTCAGCTACTTCTCCTTTCACTTAAAATGTCAAAATCTGAGGTTTAGTTTTTAAAATATTTTTGTTTTTTCGGCACAAATCAAATCCCGGTCAGGTCACGCCAAAGACTTAAAAAATGGGAACCAATGCTTCTTCGCTAGACACTCAGCTGCAAGAGGTTGGATTGGGGGGGGGTTAAACCACCAAATAGTTCCCGAGCATAGTCTCAGCTTCAGCTCACCACTCGACATGGGGATGGGTCGAAGGTGGAGATTACTTTCACCAGAGTGATGATGGGACTTTAACTTTAAAGTTTAAGTTTCATTTTTCTTTTTTACAAGGTGGGCAGCACACATAGGATGGTTTCCGTTTATATCGGTATTGGTATGTCTGTAAATAAGCCGACATCGGCCACCCCGAGTTTAAACATCAGGTCATTAGCCTTCATTACAAAACTGATGCTGGACTCAAGACCACCAGCTGCAGAATTCCTTTAGAGATTTTCCAGTTCGTTTCGTTGATGCTGCATCGTTCCAGTTGAAACTAAATTACTCAGCATACTTGGACCATCACCATTCTTTGTGTGATTTTTAACACCCTGACTGAGTTGTTGAATCAGTTAGAAACATGTGAA